CTATTGTATCATTTCGAATCTTTGTTGCCTTATGGATCTGTCCATTGATTGATAGGAGTGAGGTGTTAAAGTCTCCTACTATTATTGTATTCTCATCAGTTTCTTCCTTCATGTCTGCTTTATGTATTTGGGTGCTTCTACATTAGGTGCACATATGTTGACAAATGTAATATCCTCTCCTTGTATTAATCCTTTTACCATTATTTAGTGTCCTTCTTTTTCTATCATTAAAGTTCACTTTGTCTGATTATGAGTATTGCAAACCTTGCTTTCTTGCCATTTCCATGAATATCTTTTTCCATCCCCTTACTTTCAATCTATGTGTGTCCTTTGCCATAAAGTGGGTCTCTTGTGGGCAGCATATTGTAGTCTCTTGGTTTTGTTTTGTTTTTTAATCCAATCTGCCACTCTGTGTCTTTTGATTGGAGCATTTAGGCCACTGACTTTTAAGGTAATTATTGATAGATATGTATTTGTTGTATTTATTGGGTTTCCCTCGTAGCCTCAGTCGGTAGAGTCTGACTGCAATGCAGGAGACCTGGATTCAATCCCTGGGTCAGGAAGATACCATGGAGAAGGAAATGGCAATCCACCCCAGTATTCTTGCCTGGAGCATCCTGTGGACAGAGGAGTCTGGCAGGCTACAGCCTATGAGGTCACAAGAGTCGGAAATGACTGAGTGACTAAGCACACAGCAGCATATATTTATTGCTATTTTAAGCCTTGTTTTCTCATTGATTTTATATTTCTTCTTGTATCTTTCTCTTTTGTTTTTCCTTTTATGCTTTGGTGATTTTCTTTTGCATTAGGCTTACATTCTCTTCTTTTTTTGTTTTTATGAACCTATTGTATGCTTTTGATTTGTGGTTAAGGGTAGCTTTTTCAAGTATATTAAACCTTTCCTACATCTACTTTTTTTAGACTGGTAGTCACATAGGGGTAAAGATATTCTAGGGGGAAAAAAATCTACATTTTCTTATTCTCTTCCCCCACATTTTATGATTCTGATATCCTCTTTCATATCTCCATGTCCATCCTTTTGCTATTCCAGTGGTTATTTTTGTTCATTATTGCTTCTATAGAAATGTTTTGATTTTTAAATCTAAATAATGGCTTATTTCAGGGCTTCCCTGGTAGTTCAGATGGTACAAAATCTGCCTGTAAAGCAGAGACCTGGGTTCAGTCCTTGGGTTGGGAAGACCTCCTGGAGAAGGAAATGGTAACTCACTCCAGTATTCTTGCCTGGAGAATTCCATGGACAGAGGAGCCTGGCAGACTATATCCATGGGGTTGCAAAGAATCAGACACAACTGAGCAACTAACACTTTCACTAAGTACTGGCTTATTTAAGTGATTTGCTTTCGAATTATGATTTCCTCTTTCCTATAGATTTTTATTTCTTTTTTATTTAGAGAAGACTAAATAAAAAATAAACCTTCCTTCTTTAGGTTTGGGAAGCTTTCAGCCATAATTTCTTCAAATATATTTTCAATCCTCTTTTTCTTTTTCTTCTGTGGTTCCTATTATGTGTAGATTGGCACTCTATATACTAACCCATAAGTCTCTTGTAATATTTTCATTCTTTTCAAAATTTGACTTTTTGTCTGCTCTTCTTTTTTTTTTTTGGTCTGCTCTTCTGACTGGGTGATTTCCATTCTTGTATCTTCCGAATCACTTATGCATTCTTCTGCATTATTTATTCTGCTATTCATTGCCTTTAGCTCAGCTTTCATCTTGGCGAATGAGTTGTCTAATTTTTCTTGTTTCCTTTTTATAGTTTTTATTTCCTTTTTACAGTAATCTGCATTTGTATCAATAATTTTTCTTAATTCCTTCAGTATTTTTATTATCTCCTTTTTGAACTCAGTGTCTATTAGACTAGAGAGGTCTATTGTTCTAAAGAGGTCTATTGTTCTTCCTTTCAGAGGAGTTCTCTTGATCTTTTAATTGGGAGTGGGTCCTCTGCCTCTTCATTTTATTTATACTTCTCTTGCTCGATGAGTTTAGGAGAAACAATTACGTACTCTAGCCTTAGAGGGCTATTTTTATGTAGGAGTCTCTCGGCATAACCTGTGTGGATTTAACCATTTTTGGTGTGAGAATTACTTAGTGTAGCTGTCTGCCACCTCTTTCTTCAGTGTGTGCTGGCCATTATCCTCCTGGTAGAAAGTGTGACTGACATTGTGGGGACTAGAGCCTACGCTGGATACTGATCAGGTTATCTTCTTCTTCTTCTTTTTTTTTTTTCCATTTATTTTTATTAGTTGGAGGCTAATTACTTTACAATATTGTAGTGGTTTTTGNTTTTTAAGGAATCTCCACACTGTTCTCCATAGTGGCTGTACTAGTTTGCATTCCCACCAACAGTGTAAGAGGGTTCCCTTTCTCTTCTTTTACTCTGTGGTTGTTTTCTGTCCCTAGTTGTTGGAGTAGAAGCCCCCAGATTCATTTCTGAGCTGTTTCTGCAGTATGAGGTATGCTGGATTAGGGCTCTCCCACTAGGATAGAACCGCTGAGTGTTCTGCCAGGGCCGTTCACTGGATGAGTACACCCTGTTGTGTCGCTGGTCACCCAATGCGTGGGCTCACAAAGTACGCTGTTTCTGGCACTGCCCTTGGCCCCACTTCAACCTTGGGAATGCTGGCAATCAGCCCTCGTGTCCCTCACATGTTGTCTTCACAAGGCCATCAGTGCAGATATGCTGAAGGCAGGTTCTAAGACTGCAGTGGTCATGCACCTAGACCTGCTTGTGGGAGCTATGCAGCCAGCCCAGACTCTATCCTGACCCTGCCCCCATATGTATGTGCCCACAAATACACAGCTGCTAAGGCCAGACTCGTCCTATCCATAGGAGCACCCATTGTCCACTCAGATGTCCTACAGATGCTGAGTTTACAAGCTGGTGATGGGGAGATATGTAAATCTGAGACTTGCACAGCTGTGGGGAGAGATTTCAGCCTTGCTTCCTAGGTCCCACTGTCCCTGCAGCTCAGCTGTGGTTTCAGCCTTGCCTCTGCAGTGGATAAACCACTGAAGTCTGTTCTCAGAGCCTGCCAAGGAGGGGGCTGGGGTGTGGGAGCCCAGAGCCATAAAGACTAGGGCCCAGCACATGGAGAAAGAAGCTGCTATGGCAACCCTACCCGTTCCTTCAAGCACCACTTAACAATGGCTTGTTGACCAGGCTTCTATAGTAGGCCCAGACTTCTTCCTCAAACACCCCTGGTTTCTGCCTTACCACACTCCAGCCCCTTTTGGCTGTCTCTGTGCAGCCAATAGAAATCCTCTCCCTGAGTCTGTCCTCTAAACAGCATGTTCAGCACCCAGCCCTTGTCTGTACCATGGACATGTGTCTCAAGCTGAAGAGTTCAGGACAATGTCACAACCCATCTGTTCAGGTCTGTCTCTGCTCTGCCCACCTACCACGAGCTGGTTCTTGTGCTTTCCTCTGAGACCCTGATGCTCCCTCTCTGTCCCAGCTAATCTCCCCACCAGTGAGGGGGCGTCCCTTCGTATGAGAATCTTTCCTGTTTTTCAGCCACCTATCAGGAGCACAGGTCCCTCACTGCTGTGTGTGGGCGTTCTCTAGTTGTGGTGAGCAGGAGCTACTTTCTAGTTGTAATGTGTGGGCTTCTCTCATTGCAGCGGCCCCTCTTATTGTGGAGCACGGGCTCAAGGGCACGTAGACTTCAGTAGCTGCAGTGCATGAACTCAGTAGTCGTGGCTTGCAGGCTCTAGGGTGTGAGGGCTGAGTAGTTGCGGCACATAGGCCTAGTTGCCCCACAGCATATGATATCTTCCCAAACCAGGGATCAAACCCATGTTGCCTGCATTGGCAGGCAAATTCTTAACCACTGGACTACCAGGGAAGTCCAGTAGGTGTATTTTTAATGTATCTGTGGCATGAGGTGAGCTCCATGTCCTTCTACTCCACCATCTTGATTGGAGCCCCTAGTAAGGTGTTTTTCTTAAGTTAAAATTCTTCAGAATAGCAGTAAAAACTGAATGTGGAAGTTTTCCAAATAAAGACCTCTACATCTATCTCCTTAGAGTCATTAGGATATTTTGCTAAGGAGTTAGTTCAACTGAAAATAAAAGAATGTATCAGAAATAATCAGGAGGAGGAAAGTTTCTCAGCTTCCTTTCCTTTAAGTTAGCAGTTTATAATGAGACATGTATTAAGCTACACCACCATGTACCTTCAGCTCATCAGATCTCTATTCCAGTCTTCAGCAACACTCTCTCATGATGGCCTCAATGTGACTGAATGACAATTTGTCTTAAGCTTTTTCACTGACAGACCCATAATAGGAAAGGATAAGAAGTAGCAATCTGCTCTCTGTTCTCTACCTCCACAAACAGGGGTACTTGAAAGGTAAATTAAACCAGCCCATAATGAGCACTGAAGTTCTTTGGAGAGTCATCGTTTATATTTTAAAAATTGATGGGAATTTCGCATTAAGTTACATAAATATAACACTTTAATTTTTAAAGATGGTCACTTAGATGACAAAGTATATAGCATCTACCCTTCCCCCCATCTCAAAACCCTTAAAATAAAAAAAAATGTATAATTTTAAAAACATATAACAGGATAAATCCATGAATACACATATGTAAAAGCATGAGACAAGACTGGATGTATTCTTATCAAATTTCTGACTGTGGGGGACAAAGAAGAGAAATTGGGTCCAGAGTAAGGAGAGTGTAAGGACATAAGAATTATATAAATTTTTGTGAGGCTTTGTGTCCTTTTGACATACTCAGCAATTTACCCCAATTTAAGAAGTACCATCAGAGACAAAGAAGATTTCGAATTATGTAACTTGTCATCTAATTCTAAATAGTATATTTTGTTTAGGGGTGTTTGATATTTTTTGACAAAGTTCATAACATTATATTTGAGGTTAATGTACAAGTTATAAGGGTCACGGAAACATGCCTTCTGTACAACAAATTATTAATTATTCTACAAAAATATTTTAAACATCACGATTTCTAACCTTTAAGGTTGGCATTTAAATAGTCTTTCACTTTCTCAGTAATACTTTTTGCCACATCACTTCCAGAAGGCACGTAAACCAATTCATATTCATTTTTCTTATCAGTGAGGTAAGAGGGAAGTTCATCCAAGGGAAGAGGCGGAAATAAAGTACGTTGTTTAAATTCCCTTTTGGTTGCTTTGCGTAGAGCCAAAATCATTGCACAGAACAGCATTGTCATGGTAATTTCCACAATTAAAGAACCCATCTTCCGTTTCTACAAGAGAAACAAAATTATACTAATTAACTTTAGAGTATTACATGTGTGTATGTGTGTACTTACACTCGTGTACATACATGTATACAATACATATATATATCATCCAACTTCATTCTACAAAATGAATGGTTCTCTGGATTGTCTTTTTCACCCTTTTCTCATTTCACTATTGAGTTTATTGGTTTGCCCTATTGATACTCTTCAGATTTGGAAATCTACCTTCAGTCACGGAACAAAAGGGGAAAAATACCCATAAACTGAAATGAAATGAAGGAATTATTAAATTTTTCTTTTCAAATTCATTAGCCTTTACAGCCATTTCTCAAAGATACCTCCACTTACCTTTAATATGAAATTTTTCCAGAGAAGGATGGCAAACTGGTTAAGCCACAAGTTATCCATTTTACCACAAAGAATGAAAGTCCAACACTAAAAAAGAAGAAATTTTAAAATTTAGATTACCTGTCAAAATGTTAAGTTTAGTCAAGTAAAATGATTACTTCACTGTTCTACTCTTTTCATCAATCTTGAAAGATAATCTTTTAAAAAACTTGAAATAAACACTTATCTGTTCTTGTTTTATATTATTTCATTAAATTCACACCTAATGATCTTCTCATATGTATGAAAATATTAGACAATAGAGATGCAAAGATCAGTAAGTTGCAACTCCATGTTCACAAAGAAAAATGTAAACTGTAAATGCAAAATATTAGTTATTAAAAGGAGGGGAGGATGAACAGAAAGAGTAGCATTGCTATACATACACTACTATGTATAAAATAGATAGCTAGTGGGAAGCTGCTATATAGCACAATTAGCTCAGCTTGGTGCTCTGTAACGACCTAGAGGGCTGGGATGGGAGTGTGGGTTTGGAGGGAGGTTCAAAAGGGAGGGGATACAGACTGAAAGTGAAGGGCTGGAAAAAATATTTCATGCAAAAGGAGACCAAAAGAAAGCAGGAGTCGCAATACTCATATCAGATAAAATAGACTTTAAAATAGAGGCTGTGAAAAGAGACAAAGAAGGACACTACATAATGAGCAAAGGAGCAATCCAAGAAGAAGATATAACAATTACAAATATATATGCACCCAACATAGGAGCACCGCAATATGTAAGGCAAACGCTAACGAGTATGAAAGAGGAAATTAATAGTAACACAATAATAGTAGGAGACTTTAATACCCCACTCACAACTATGGATAGATCAACTAAACAGAAAATGAACAAGGAAACACAAACTTTAACGGACACAATGGACCAGCTAGACCTAANACCTAATTGGTAGCTATAGGGCATTTCACCCAAAAAAAATTAGATTTCATCTTTTTCTCAAGTGCACAGGGAACATCCTCCAGGATACATCACTTCCTAGGCCATAAATGTAGCTTTGGTAAATTTTTAAAAATTGAAAGCATTTCAAGCATCTTTTCTGATCACAATGCAGTAAGATTATATGTCAAATACAGGAAAAGGGCTATTAAAAATACAAGCTTATGGAGGCTAAACAACATGCTTCTGAATAACCAACAGGTTATGGAAGAAATCAAAAAGGAAATCAAATTATGTATAGAAATAAATGAAAACATGACAGCCCAAAGCCTATGGGATTCAGCAAAAAGCAGGGCTAAGAGGAACTTCATAGCAATACAAGCCTTCCTCAAAAGAAGCATCAAATAAACAACCTTACTTTATGCTTACAGTAACTAGAAAAAGAAGAAAAGAAGAACCCCAAAGTTAATAGAAGGAAAGAAATTTTAAAAATCAGAGCAGAAATAAATGAAAAAGAAACGATGGAGACTATAGCAAAAATCAACAAAACTGAAAGCTGGTTATTTGAAAAGATAAATAAAATAGACAAACCTTTAGTCAGACTCATCAAGATAAAAAAGGGAGAAGAATCAAATCAATAAAGTTAGAAATGAAAATGGGGCAATCACAACAGACAGCACAGAAATACAAAGGTTCATAAGAGACTACTGTCAGCAACTATATGCCAATAAAATGGACAACTTGGAAGAAATGGACAAATTCTTAGAAAAGTATAACCTTCCAAAACTGAACCAGGAAGAAATACAAAATCTTAAAGACCCATCACTAGCATGAATACTGAAACTGCAATGCAAAATTCTAGCTAACAGAATCCAACAGCATATGAAAAAGTTCCTACACCATGACCGAGTGGGCTTTATCCCAGAGATGCAAGGATTCTTCAATATATGTAAATCAATCAATGTGAAACATCATATTAATAAATTGAAAGATAAAAGCCATGAGATTATCTCAACAGATGCAGAGAAAGCCTTTGACAACATTCAACACCCATTTATGACAAAAATAAATAAATAAAACTCTACAGAAAACAGGCATAGAAGGAACATACCTAAATATAATAAAAGCCATATATGATAAACTCACACCAAACATTATCCATAAAGGAGAAAAATTGAAAGCATTTCCTCTAAAATAAGGAACAAGAAAAGGGTGCCAACTCTCATCACTACTATTCAATGTAGTTTTGGAAGTTCTAGCCACAGCATCAGAGAAGAAAAGGAAATGAGAGGAATCCGGATTGGAAAAGAAGTAAATCTCTCACTGTTTGAAGATGACAGGATCCTCTACATAGAAAACCCTAAAGACGTCCCCAGAAAATGACTAGAACTAATCAATAAATATAGTACAGATGCTAGTTATAAAATTAATACACAGAAATCTTTTGTATTCCTATACACTAACAATGAGAAAACAGAAAGAGAAATTAAGGAAACAATCCTATTCACGATTGCAATGAAAAAAATAAAATGCTCAGGAATAAATTTAGCTAAAGAAACAAAAGACCTATATATAGAAAACTATAAAACACTGATGAAAGAAATCAAAGATGACACAAATAGATGGAGAAATATACCATGTTCATGGATTGGAAGAATCAATTTAGTGAATATGAGTATTCTACCCAAAGCAATCTATAGATTCAATGCAATCCCTATCAAGCTACCAATGGTGTTTTTCACAGAACTGGAACAAAAAATATCAAAATTTGTACTGAGATACAAAAACTTCAAATAGCCAAAGCAATCCTGAGAAAGAAGAATGGAACTGGAGGAATCAACCTGCTAGATTTCAAACTATATTACAAAGCTACAATCATCAAGACAGTATGGTACTGGCACAAAGACAGATACCTTATCTTTGACAAAGAAGGCAAAAATATACAATGGAGAAAAGACAATCTCTTTAAACATGTGGTGCTGGGAAAACTGGTCAACCACCTGTAAAAGAATGAAACTAGAACAGTTTCTAACACCACACAAAAAAAAACAAATTCAAAATGGATTAAAGGTCTAAATGTAAGACCAGAAACTATAAAACTCCTAGAGTAAAATAGGCAGAACACTTTCTGACATAAATCCCAGCAAGATCCTCTATGATCCACCTCCCAGAGTAATGGAAATAAAAGCAAAAATAAAGAAATGGGACCCAGTTAAACTTAAAAGCTTTTGCATGAAGGAAGGAAACTATAAGTAAGGTGAAAAGTCAGCCTTCAGAATGGGAGAAAATAATAGCAAACAAAATAACAGACAAAGAATTAATATCCAAAATATACAAGCATCTCATGCAGTTCAATAGCAGAAAAATAAATGACCCAAAAAGTGGGCCATAAAGCAACTAGAAAATGAATAATCCCAAGGTTAGTAAAAGGAAAGAATCGTAAAAACTAGTGTAGACATAAATGAAAAAGAAACAAAGGAGACTATAGCAAAAATCAACAAAACTAAAAGCTGGTTCTTTGAGAAGATAAATAAAATAGACAAAACATTAGCCAGACTCATCAAGAAACAAAAGAAAAAGAATCAAATCAAATAATTAGAAATGAAAATGGAGAAAACACAACAGACAACACAGAAATACAAAGGATCATAAGAGACTACTATCAGCAACTATATGACAATAAAATGGACAACTTGGAAGAAATGGACAAATTCTTAGAAAAGTATAACTTTCCAAAACTACCAAAAAGAAAGAGAAAATCTTAAGAGACCCATCACAAGCACAGAAATAGAAACTGTAATCAGAAGTCTTCCAAAAAACAAACACCCAGGACCAGATGGCTTCAGAGTTGAATTCTACCAAAAATTTACAAAAGAAATAACATCTGTCCTACTAAAAATCTGCAAGAAAATTGCAGAGAAAGGTAAACTCCCAAACTCATTCTGTGAGGCCACCATCACCCTAATACCAAAGCCAGACAAAGATGCCACAAAAGAAGAAAACCACAGGCCAATATCACTGATGGACATAGATGCAAAAATCCTTAACAAAATTCTAGCAAATAGAATCCAACAACATATTAAAAAGATCATACATCATTACCAAGTGGCTTTATCCCAGGGATGCAAGGATTCTTTGATATTCACAAATCAATCAATGTGATACACCACATTAACAAATTGAAAGATAAACACCATATGATTATCTCAATAGATGCAGCTAAAGCCTTTGAAAAAATTCAATATCCATTTATGCTAAAAAAAAAAAAACCTGCAGAAAGCAGGAATAGAAAGAACATACCTCAACATAATAAAAGCCATATATGATAAACCCACAGCAAATATTATCCTCAATGGTGAAAAACTGAAAGCATTTCCCTAAAGTCAGGAACAAGACAAGAGTGCCCACTCTCACCACTACTATTCAACATAGTTTTGGAAGTTTTGGCCACAGCAATCAGAGAAGAAAAAGAAATTAAAGAAATTCAGATAGGAAAAGAAGAAGTAAAACTCTCACTATTTGCAAATAACATGATGCTTTACATAGAAAACCTTAAAGATACCACCAGAATATTACTAGACCTAATCAATGAATATAGTAAAGTTGCAGGATATAAAATTAACACAGAGATCCCTTGCATTCCTATACACAAACAATGAGAAAACGGAAAGAGAAATTAAGGAAACAATTCCATTCACCATTGCAACAAAAAGAATAAAATACTTAGGAATATACCTACCTAAAGAAACAAAAGACCTATATATAGGAAACTATAAAACATTGATAAAAGAAATCAAAGATGACACAAATAGATAAATATAACGTGTCCCTGGATCAGAAGAATCAATACAGCGAAAATGAGTATACTATCCAAAGGATGATTTGAGACAATAAAATTGAAACATGTATATTACCATATGTGAAATAGATCGCCAGTCCAGGTTTGTTGCATGAGACAGGGTGCTCAGGGCCAGTACACTGGGATGACCCTGAGGGATGGGATGGGGAGGGAGGTAGGAGGGGGGTTCAGGATGGGGAACACATTTACACCCATGGCTGATTCATGTTAATGTATGGCAAAAACCACTACAATATTGTGAAGTAATTAGCCTCCAATTGAAGTAAATAAATAATTTTTTTTAATTAAAAAAAAA